ATCCCGACTCTCGCTGGCTCCTGTCTCCTCGAACTTGCTCTGGTCCCATCTCTCCAGGACGAAGCAGACGCCCATGAGGGGCTCCTCGCACATGGGGCCGGCGAGCGTGGCCAGCTGGAAGCCGCTCACGATGCTGTTGCCCACGTCCCGGTACCTGCTGGCCTCCTGGGCAGCGGTGCCCGCGGGGCCTGCCCACACGGAGTTCCGGAAGTCGGCGCTTTTATTCACCAAGATGTTGGGCCCACATTTCCTGGGGCCGAACGACCAGATCTGGTCCACGGTGTCCCTCCATTTCCTGCCCGTCAGGTGCTGCTCCAGTTTGCCCTTGAACTCCCGGATTCTCTCCTGCATCTTCTGGGTCAGCTGAGCGCTCCTGCCCTCGTTCAGAGACGACGTCAGCTGCTCCATGGAACGAATCACGTCGTTGTTTTCTTCCAGAAGCCGCGTGACTTCTTCCGGAAGGGGCACGGCCCGGACGCTGAGCGTGGCCAGTTTGTTGGGCGTTGTCATGGTGACCAGCCCATCGGCGTCCACCTGGACCCCCTCGGGGACTTTGCTGTGGTCGTCTCTGGCCTGGTGGATGACGGCCACCTTCTGCTGCCGGCCGATCTCCTCGTTGACCATGTCCACTCGGGGGGGTTTTGTGATGGTTTCTCTGAAGGGGATGATGGGTTCGGAGACACTGATTTCGATCTTTGCAAACCTACAGACAGATCCAGGAGAAACGTAACAGAAGGTTGTAACAAAAATAGCATCGAAACGCCCACCTAGAAATATCACACAATGAAAATTCTGCAAAAAAAACCCAAAACAATAAAACACAGAAACATAAAAGTTCTTTTACTCTGAGAGATAAATCACTTTTATTTCGGATTGAAAAGTCTAATGGGAACATTCCTTGTAGTAGGATTTCACTGCTTTGTTCATTCTCAAAATAAATAACCCACCTATTTCCATAAGAATGTTTTGAATGGGAAATAAATGCTTTAAGAAGATTTGACACATGAGCCCTAGACGGTGTTGCTCAGTGGGTAGAGCGTTGGCCTGCGGACTGAGGTTCCGGGTTCGACTCCCGTCAAGGGCACATGCACACCTCGGCTGCAGGCTCCCGGTCCTGGTCTGGGGCATGCGGGAGGCAACCCATCGATGTGTCTTTCTCACATCGGTGTCTCTCTCTGTCTCTCCTTCTCTCTTCCACTCTCTCTAACAATCAAAGAAAAAAATATCCTCAGGGGAGGATTTAAAAATAATAATAATAAAATAAAAAATAACAATGCAAAATGATTCAAGTGCAGAAGTGAATGTCAGGTGTTAAAAATTATACCTACGATCTGATAACACGTGACAGGTCATGTTTCGGGGAATTTCGTTGTTTTGATGGTCGGGAAGCACCGAGCGCCCAGGGCCTGGAGCCGCCCCTGCCCGTCCCCCCCGACCGGCAGCTGACCTTTCCCGCAGGTCGTCCAGGCAGCGCTGCAGGTGGATCTCCCCCGCGGTGACCAGCACGTGCTCCCCCGTCTCCTGGATTAAGATCTGGACACAGGGGTCGGCCTGGTTCAGCAGCTTCATCCCTCGGATGAGCTGGGGCATCTCACCTGGATGGACAGGATGACACGCTGATCACCTGCACGACGTACGACTAATACAATCTAAGGAGAAGGCCCTGGCCCGGCGGGCGTGGCTCAGGGGCTGAGCGTCGACCTGGGAACCAGGAGGTCGCGGTTCGATTCCCGGTCAGGGCACAGGCCCGGGACGTAGGCTCCATCCGTGGTGCGGGAGGCAGCTGTCAATGATTGTGTCTTGTCATTGATGTTTTCATCTCTCTCCCTCGCCCTTCCTCTCTGAAATCTATTTTTAAAAAAAGAGAGAGAATGTCCTTGCCATTGAAAGGAAAAGAACAATGAGATAAACTCTTAAAAGAACGGTTTATTTTCCTTGCAAGTGGCGATGAGAAGAAAACTACCTCCTGGTAACTGATTTGTATAGACAGCTAACATGCGACACTTATGTGCTCAGCAAGATCCCAAAGCGGATCCATACACTTCTTCCGACACTCAGCACACAGAAACTCCCTACCGGAACTTAGTCCACTGCACATACTGCACGCCTAGACTCGCAACAGGGCTCTTCCCTCAACAGTCCCCATAAAACCAACAAAAAGGCAAAAGAAGCATTCAAGGTGGTAAGCAATCCAGGAAACAGCACCAGGGCCTCCTGTTGAAAATAATAATTTGTGCTGTAGTCAGTCTGACTCATGGACAGAGTGTCGGCCTGCGGACTGAAGGGTCCTGGGTTCGATTCCCGGTCAGGGCACATGCCCAGGTTGCGGGCTCGATCCCCAGTAGGGGCCGTGCAGGAGGCAGCCGATCCATGATTGTCTCTCATCACTGGTGTTTATCTCTCTCTCCCTTCCTCTCTGAAACCAATAAAAATATATATTAAAAAGAAAAGATACGGCCTATGGAGACGACATTCTGAAGATATTTACACTGGAGTCGTGTCGCTGTGAGAAGCAATGCTCTGATCTCCCCAGCGGGAAGCAGAGACGGCCCCATCCCTGCACCTGCAGGCCGCAGCCTCCCGGGGAGCACAGGTGCCTACGGAGGCCTCGTTCCTGAGAGAGAGGTGGCATCCCCTGAAGAGTCGGTGGTCTGTGTGGCCTCCTGGTTGGGAGGATCACCTCAGTTACAGGCCTGCGTGAACGTTCCCGGGACACGGCTGAAACTGCATGCGAGGACTCACGTCTCACATGATGCATTTAAAGAGTGTCATGGCCCGGCCAGTGCGGCTCAGTGGCTGAGCACTGACCTATGAACCAGGAGGTCAGGGTTTGATTCCCGGTCAGGGCACGTGTCCGGGTTGTGGGCTCGATCCCCAGTGGGGGGCGTGCAGGAGGCAGCTGATCTGTGATTCTCTCTCATCATGGATGTTTCTCTCTCTCTCTCTCTCTCTCTCTCTCTCTCTCTCTCTCTCCCCCTCTCCCTTCCTCTTGAAATCAATAAAAATATATTTAAAAATCCTATATAATAAATAGGTGATATGCAAATTAACCCTCACACCCTCACAAGATTGCTGCCTATGACCAGGCTGTGTGGGGCAACCAGGCTAGCAGGGGGGCTGTGAGGGGCGACTAGGCCATTGGGGGTGGGGGGCAGATAGGGGCAACCA